GGGATCATGACCTGAGCTGAAGGCAGACGCTTAACGACTGAGCCACCCAGGCACCCCTAATAATGTATTTTTAAAACTCACTAACACACTATGCTTATCTTTCCGTGCTAAAAATGTCTACCTACATCAGCATTTTTAATGGCTGCATAGAATTCCTTTGCATAAATGCACCAGAGCTTATTTCACTAGTTTCTTATTGATGCACTGTGGTGTCTGCCTCTTCCCGCTGTTTCACTCATGGAAACAGTGAACATCCTTCTGTATCTTTTTGTACATCCTTCGGATAAAATTCCTAGAAACAAATTGCTAGTCAAAGAATTTTCTTATTTTTTTAAAGTGATTTTGAACACAGTTAATATTCACTCTAAAAAATGGCAAATACAGAGAAAAGTTAAAATCTCCGTAGCTTCCAGATAACTTTTATATATTTTTCTAATAGGATCACATACGTAGTCTTATTATCTGCTTTTCTCGTTTAACCATACGTTGTAAACATCTTCCCTTGTCAGCCACGTTTAAGATACTGTGATACACCTAGATACAGTAATTATATGCAATGAATTGATATGATTCTTCTGCTTGAGTCAGTGAACAAATATTAAGTACCTGAAAGACACAAAAGCAATCTAGTAGATGTGAGGAGAGAGAGTTGATCCGAACGGTTTGGTGCCCTCAAAAGTCTTACAGACTAGAAGGGAGTCTTAGGCGGTCCCAGGTCCCTGTAAGAGGGTCTGAGAGCTGGACTGTGGGAGTTAGGGAAAGAAAAGTCATGTTTAGTTAGGTCAGGGAAGGCTCAGAAGAGGGTGACCGAGGGCTTGACCCTGTGCAGGTGGGGAGGAAGAAGCATTCCAGGTAGAGGAGCGTTCTCTAGGACGTACTGTCAGGAAAATGAGAGACGCCCACTCTCACCATCCCAGTGACTGGGAGGCAGTTCTCCCCTCAAAAGGGACCCCAGACGTGGTGGGAGATAAAGGTGGAGACGTAATGAGATGTGTCAGGCTGTGGGTGGTCTAGAGTATGTGGCTAAGCATCGTGGACTGCGTTTCCTGAGCAGAGGGGAGTGTTTTTTAGCTTTGCTCAGATTTGTTGTAGCCAGAGTGCTGATGGGATTTGAGGGGCTGGAGTTTTGCTCATCAGCTGCGTGTGTGAGGGGCCGTGGTAAAGGAAGAGGACGGTCAGGATGCTTTGCTGCCAGCCCGACCGGAACGGACCCAGATGGTAGCAGCCGGGGCAGAGGGAAGAGAAGGAGGTGGAAGGAGAGGTCTGGGCGGACCCAGATGTGGTGATAAAGGGAAGGTGGAGGGTCAAGAAGGCCTTGGGGTTTGAGTCTGGGTGGCTTCCATAGTAAGCCATATATGCAAAAGGAAAACACAGGGAGAAAAGCACTTAAGAAAATGATGAGTTGGAAAATTAAAAAAAAAAACAAGTTTAGCCCCTTTCGTTTGGTCTTTTTTTTTTTTTTAAAGATTTTATTTATTTATTTGAGAGAGAGAGAGAGAGCACATGAGATGGGGGGAGGGTCAGAGGGAGAAGCAGACTCCCTGCTGAGCAGGGAGCCCGATGCGGGACTCGATTCCGGGACTCCAGGATCATGACCTGAGCCGAAGGCAGTCGCTTAACCAACTGAGCCACCCAGGCGCCCCCTTTCGTTTGGTCTTAACATCACATGCTTCTACCCCCATCTCCTTCCTCACAGGCAGTGGTTTGGAATACACCTGTAAGTGTGGAGGCCTTCAGGCAGGAGCTCCGTTCCACACGCAGACCGCCCCGCCTGAGCAAGCAGTGGGGACCGTGGAAGGGAGACCCCTCGGTGGCCAGGACGCCTTCCCCTCTCAGGAAGGCACGCTGTCCCCCGTGAACCTGACGGACGACCAGATAGCCGCCGGCCTCTATGGTAACCTTCCTCACTCAGCCCTTCTCAGCCTCAGGATTCTAGGATCAGCACTGCTGGTACCCCAGTCTAATGTCAGAGTGTCTCATAGGTTGACCTGGAAGAAGCATTGACCTAAGAAGTGTTAGGAAGGTAGGCCTAGAACATCTTTAAAAAGATTGCTGAAGAAAGGAGTGTGCCGTCCCCTGAAGAAAACTCATCTGATTTTGTGAATTATGAAATATTTTGAATAGCATTTCACTCCTTCGCAGTCTGGCAGGCATAACTTCTTCCCAGATTATCTCAGCTAAAAGAAAAGAACAATAATAATCCCTATTTTAGTGCCTACGTGGTTCTTGAGGCCCGAATAAGTTATGACCTCACTTTATAAACAGTGAAGCCTGATGCAAATGCTAGTTGTCAGTGCTTTTGTTATGTTTGGAAGTGCTGATGGTGGATTTTTTTCCCCATTTAAAGAACTTCAAATTATTTTCTTTACATGCATACATCTTTCCAATGGATTTTGTGCCAGCTTCTCATATGCAAGTGCCAAGATCTAAATTTACATGAATGAGAAAAAAAAAAGAACATGAAGAAAGATTTCTTGGTCCCTTAACTTGCATGGGTATGAGTTGTGTTAATTTTGCTCACCTTGATTCCCTTTTTCGCAGTATGTACAAACAATGAAAGCACACTGAAGTCTATCATGAAGAAGAAAGACGGCAACAAAGATTCAAATGGAGCAAAGAAGAATCTTCAGTTTGTCGGCATTAACGGAGGGTAAGGAAAGATGCTACCAGTCAGTCTGTACCTGGTCTGTCTGTCTCCTTCGCCTCCTGTCTCCTCAAGTCCCATTTCAAGGTGCCCAGGCTGGGCTTCAGCCACATCTTGGTGACGGAAGATCCCCTCAGAAAGGTGCATTTGGGCTCCTCTCCTCTTCTTGCTGTCTTTAAGGATGTGTCACTCTTGAAAAGACACCTGATGACGCTGAGCAGTTTACATCTTCCCACCTCTGATCTGAAAACAGTAGTCTTCAACAAAAGTAGCAGGCGACAAGTGTCCCACGGAGTTGGACAACTTGTTCTTACCTGTACCAGACTCAGGAACAAACAGAAAGAGGCGAGAGCATCGCTCCACGGGCTGGTGATGGTCATCCACTCCTTCACAACGGGTTATTTTGCCTAGCTCTCCATGCTTACATACAAAATTGTAGGGCCTTTCACTTGACCAGTAATCCAGCTGTGCCTTCAGTTCCTTACTTTCTAAATAGAATGTCTGTTAGCTCCTCATTCCTTCTTACTGGGCCAGATAAATAGTGAAGGCTGTTTGTCATCCACAGTTGAATCAGAACAGCTAATCTATTAATCCATATACGGCCTCGGCTTCAACAAGAAAGCACTAATGCGGTTAGTTTCGATAATATTTATGGCAAAGCATTACATAAAGATGTAACTTAATGGGGCCTATTTTCTGAATCTTTGAAGTCTAGTTGGGTAGTGCGGCCGAGGAGTTTTTGGAGGGTGTGTGCCAGAGGAACTATCGATTACTTACCTAATCTGTTCACCATGACACGGGAACAATTAATGGAGCAAAATAGGAAGAATGTAAGGGAAAAGAAAAAAGAAGGAACAGAAAGAAATGAACCACTGCGGACCTGGCTTTCGTGAAGTAAATTTCCTTTGATTTATCCTAAGCGAGAGGTGCTATATATACATATTTTTTTTTCCTACAAGTAGTATAATGATACCAATTGGCAACTCAAGTTATGCCTTCTAAGCCAGAACCCATTCGAAACCACCAGATTTTTAAATAGACCTTACTTTGAACTTCTAAATGCAGGGTCTCAAAGTGGTTTCTCTGCATAAGAGTTTTTCGGTCACGGGGTCTTTCTGGGCACACCTTGCATCTCCTGAACTCCCAATTGCCACCTAGGTATGAAACAACTTCAAGTGATGATTCCAGCTCAGATGAAAGCTCTTCCTCCGAGTCAGATGACGAGTGTGATGTCATTGAGTACCCTCCCGAGGAAGAGGAGGAGGAAGAGGAGGATGAAGACACTCGGGGAATGGCGGAAGGGCACCATGCCGTTAATATTGAAGGTTTCAAGTCTGCCAGGGTGGAAGATGAGATGCAGGTTCCAGAATGTGAACCTGAGAAGGTGGAAATCAGAGAGAGGTGTGGTACACTCCCCTCCCCTCCCTAACCCTTCCCACGTTCATTGTGCCTTTGGCAAGAGAACTGGCCAATTAGGAGATTTCACCATTGTAACTATTGGTTGGGTCTTTCCGATCCCCAAAGGAGAGCTAAACTTCATCCTCAGAGGTATGACCGTCGTGTCGTGATGCTAATAAATACAGGTGCGGAGGGAGAGAACTCCTAGATCTCTCAGAGTAGCAAAGAGAAGGGCCTGATCAGGCTGCCACCTTGTTTCCTTTAAATGTATTTGCTAGCTAATTTTATGTGTGGAGCCACCATCCACAGAACTATTACGTGCCGTTAAAGTTTTCAGTGTTCCGACAACCCACCTTATATTTGAAGGCAGTGTTAGAATTTTGTGTGGCCAGCACATGTCTTTTAAGATTTCAGATTTTATCATTAGCCATTCATCTTGATACAGGTCAGTACTGTTCTAATAGGATCGCTGTGTGTGAAAGGAGCGGTCTTTTAGCCCCAGCTGAAGATCACATTCACTTCAAAGATGATATAATCAGTCACATGTCTGCATTTTGTTGCTCACTGAGTGATAGGGAACACCACAAGAATGGGTTTGGAAGTCTCCTAAGCAGCAGCTGAAATACCCAGTAAACACTCTGGTTGGCTGAAACACGTACCTAACTATGTAGCAAATTTTAAAGACTGCTAGCAAATGTGGAATCGATGCTTATAAAACAGAGAATAGAACAGATGGAAAATTCAAGATGGTTTTTCACTGTGTGGAGTATAAATAGAACATTTCAGAAAACTTCTGTTTAATTTTGCAAATGAAAGTTTAACTGCATTAACACAAGGTAAGTGTTTCTAGTTTATATTTCCAAGTATTTTCACATGGCTCAGGATCTTGTCATCTAGGTTTTTTTTTTTTTAAACAGCTTTATTGAGCTATCATTTATTTACCGTATGTCATCTGATTTTTCAGTTTAGATTTTCATGGGGGTTAAACATTTTCTGAGTGCAGATGTGTGGTTTGCTGGTCAGCATAATAGATCTGTGGTAATTCTGACCTCTTCAGCCTCTTAAGAGTAGAAACATTTTTGGGAACTTAGAATAAAAGGAATAAAAAAGTTCCACAGGTTATTCCATAATGTCATAAAGGCCAAACAGGTGAAGCTGAAAGCTGCCCATACGGAAAGGCCTGAGCTCTGGGTGGAGACATTGGTTCTGTACGTCCTCGGACGCCTAGGGGAGCCCACTCCGACCTCCAGGCAAGCACCTTCCCCCACCACGAACCTGCTGAGGTCCACTTGGGGCCTCTTGTCTTTTAAAGGGCCATTGAGTTTGCAATAAAAGTGACTTTCCTTTGGTGGCCACTCGTGAGCTCTCTTTCTTTTATCTTGTCGTAGGTATGAATTAAGTGAAAAGATGTTGTCTGCCTGCAACTTACTGAAAAATAATATAAATGACCCCAAAGCTTTGACCAGCAAGGATATGGTGAGTCTGCCCTCCAGACATCATCCCCTGTCTGTACAGATTACCCGAGTGGACACCAAAGTCAAGGTGTCTCTAGCCGGCCCCCGAGCTCTTGTTGCCCACACCCCGTGCCCCCGAACTCTCTCTAGCTCGTGTAAGCAGAGCGAGCCTCGCGTTGCCCTGTTCACACCGCCCGTTGACCTCAGGCCCTGCAGCGGACACCCCCACCCTCTACTTTTCTCGGCAGTGAAGCCTCTGTGAGACGCATACTTGCACACGGGAGGGAGGGCTAATTGCAGTCAGTCGTCAGGTTTCGACACATTCTGCTTCCGCTCCCAGAACCTTGTGATCCAGGGAGAAGAGCCACCAGAGTTGTTGTGTTTTGTTTTTTGTTTTTAAAGTTGGCCTCTGGTTTTTTAAAAAGCAGCCTCTCTGGGCCGAGGTCAGCATTCCTTTCAATTATGAACGTGCGTGTCATGTTCCTGGGTGGAATGCCGGCGGCCGCTATTTTTAAACTTCGGAGTCACTGCGCTTTTCATCTGTGCCCAGTTTGAGAGACTTGGAAGCTCACAGCAGTGAAGCTGGTGGTTGCTTCAGGGACAGGAAGGACACGGCCCAGGGCAGATGAGCATTTCTGGGGCGACGGTGAATCGGACACCACGGCGAAGTGTGTCGCTCTTCCCCATGGGGCTGGTGGAGTTTTGAGGTGCGGCTTCTGTCCCAGGTCAGACCCGCCCTCTGGCTGACAGTTGTCTTCAGCGCGCTGAGAAGACGTAGGTTCTCCCGTTACATCAGACAGCGTTGGCATTTGAATCTCGGCACCTCGTCAACGTGGAGTTTTCTGCCGCATAACCCAAGTCAGCAGCGAGTGAGAAGGCCTCACGGGATTGTAGAGTGATGAAACCAAAATGTTAGAACTGGAGGGGACTTGAGGGATCCCCTCATGCTGGAAGGGCACTGTTTTCCTCGTGGACGACACGCACAATCTGAGGGAGAACTGGGACTGTTGTCACAGGCGCGAGGCGCGTGGGCGTGCAGACCTGTGAGGCCACGGTGTCCTGGTCTTCTCTGTTTTAACTGAGGCCCTGAAGATGAGGAGTCTTGTCCAGAGCTAGTTAACTAGCTTCTCGTTAGTACTGGGGCTAGGTGATACTTCTCCAATACTGGTCCATGTTTTATTTATCCTTTCTCAATCGTATTACCTTATCATACGGCATCCTTTTTTAAAATTACGGTTGTGCCTCATATTTGTTTCCATCGCTATAGAAACTTAAATTTCTCAGAGCCAACTGTGTCTTGACATTAAATTAGCGAGCTGAGAAAGGCACACGGCGGTGATGTTTACAGAAGAAGATACGAAGTAAAATCCCTGGCCTGGGGCGGGGGCGGACCCAGAACTCCTTCAGTATAAACTAAATTTCTGTCTACGCCTCAGTCCCAAGAGAGCAAAACCATGAAATGTCACTGCAGTGTTAATATCTCCCACGAGGTTGAACCTGAACTTAAAACTGGTGCTTCTGGACCCTAGATCTTAAAGCTAGAATATACTTTGACCATTCTCAAAATACCTGGTCATATGGTCTTCAGGGAGGACCATCCATTTCTCTGGCCCCAGATTGCCAAGCTATATTGTCACGCACACACTCCGTGGTCAGTTCCTTTTTGGTTAAACTGAACTCACTTGACGAAAACGCGTTGAAGGAATTGCGCCGTGAAAAGTGGTAGACACACACGAACAATCACAGTGCCAGGGCCAGTAACCATAACAGGACGCCACGTACACAGCAGTAACAGAGTTCAACACCCAAACGACACAGATTCCCCTCTCTCCATGTGAGGACGGGCTCCAGAGAAATAGAAACCTGAATATGTAGAAGAATGAGCAGAAGAAAGCATTAGATGAATTTTTTTCCCACCCCAGGACCCTTTTCATCAAGTGCCGCAGAATGTGATTGAATGGGCTAAAACCAAATCATCAGTAGCTGGATGATAAAGATGCAGAAGCCAGGACAATTCCAGCTCCCACTTCTCTGTAGAAAGGGGACCTCTTGGGTTCTGGTGCCGTTGACGTAGGCTTTCCGTCTTTCTTTGGTCTATTTCTAAACTTTTCAGGAGTAAGCAAAGCACAGATGAACGGTAAACTCGTGTAAAAAGGGCTCACGGAAGAAGCATTCTAGTTCCTCCCGTCACCAGCGGTGGTCATGGGCAGTCTGCCTTGAACTTCTCGTGGTCCGGGTTTGACTTGGTAGCTCCTGAAATAAGGCCCATGTTCATGTGTCCACAGCCTGAGGGAAGGCATGCACGGGGCTCCTGGTCAGATGCAGATGATCCTAAATGAGAAATGTAATTTGTTTCAAACCTGCTTTTTAATCCCTTTCCATGGTTGAATGTTTGTCTTTGGGATTGGAGTGGGAATGGGGCTGGCTACACCCTCATGGCCTTTCAGCCCAGTGCTGTGGGGATGTTGAAGGAGTTAAGGGTGGTCTGGATAGGAAGAAAGCAGCATAAATTCAGTGTGGGTGAAGTAATTTCTTCTGTCCTGAGTACTCTGAAAAATCACATGCAGGGCCAGCATAATTACTTAATGTTAATAGTTCAAGAATCAGTGAAGCCAGGCCTACGTGTTTTTTGTTTTTTTTTTTTTTTTAGAAACAGCATGAGAGGGGATAGGGTCAGAGGGAGAAGCAGGCTCCGCGCTGAGCCGGGAGCCCGATGTGGGACTCGATCCCAGGACCCCGGGATCATGACCCGAGCCGAAGGCAGTCGCTTAACCAACTGAGCCACCCAGGCGCCCCAGGCCTACGTGTTTTTATGTGTATTGCCTCATTTGTCCTCATCACAAGCACTGTGGGGAAAAGGTATTTTTATTACCCCCATTTTGCAGATGAGCAAACTGAGGCACGGAGTAAGTATCTTCCCCAGGAGAGCACAGCTCACAAGTAGCAGAGCCAGGATTGGATCCTTGCAGTAGAGCCCCTGAACAGTGCTGCGCGGACTCTTTTCGCAAGTTAGAAACGCCTGTGGTTGAAAGTCCGGAGCGGTGCCCCAGTTTGGAGTCTGAGGCTCCTCTTAGGGCTCCGGGTTTCATGCGTTGTTCTCTGAGAGCCGATTCTCGCTGCGTACACTGACTATAAAAGGCCTCGTTTCTCGGGCTTTCAGCTGGGCTATAAATAGAAGGACTAACGGCCACTTGCTGGTGTCTTGGCAGCGGTTCTGCCTGAACACCCTGCAGCACGAGTGGTTCCGCGTGTCCAGTCAGAAGTCAGCCAGCCCGGCCATGGTGGGCGACTACATAGCGGCGTTCGAGGCCATTTCCCCGGATGTCCTCCGCCACATCATCAACATGGCGGACGGCAACGGCAACACGGCCCTCCACTACAGCGTGTCCCACTCCAACTTCGAGATCGTGAAGCTGCTCTTGGACGCGGGTACGTGCGCCTGGTCTCTTCCCTGACCGCGCTCGGGCGGTCACTCCGCTCAGAGAAGCCGGCTGACCCGCTCCTCTGTGCCGGCACCGCCCCGAGCCTCCCCCATTGCTTTTCCACGCGCTCTGGCAGCCATGCCCTTCTTGAGTCACTGGGGGGACGCTTGACCCGGAAACAGCCAGGTCCGTTTTGAAAGGAGGTTGCGAGGCTGTTCTTGCTGCGGTTCAGCTGCGTTCGGGCGAGGTGTCTCCCCGGTGAGGAGCGCGCCTCGGGGTCCCTCCCGAGCTGCGTCGCGCTGGCGGGGCGGGACAGAGTGCTGCTCCCGGGACCCACGTCAGCTTCGCTGGTTGCAGGCTGCCACTGCAACGAATTGTGGTAGAATCGTAACCATTCCCACCGAAAGAGACCCTGTTGCTGGGGACTCCGCGTAGAGTGAAGAAGGTGTCGTTCTCGTATCTGAGCCCCAGTAACGAGAACAGTGAAAACCCTTGTTTACAATTGGAACATCCCATCCCAGAACATAGCCACTGCGTGTCTGATACACGAAGCGAGGGTGTGCTACATGGAAGGGTCCCCTTGGGAAATGGCGAACTTCCCAACTTTTTGTTCAAATACAGTAGCCCAGTGGTACATACAGTCCCCGAGTCACTCTGATTTATTTTTGAAAGACATATTTTTACTTCTAGTATGTGGCTGATAACAGAATTTATAGTACCTCGGTCTTAAATTAGCGAGCACACAATGTGAACCTTTGATTTAGCATATGCAATAAAATTGTCAGGTTTCCCCATACTGCTTCTTGGTGCAGCTCACTAATTTCTTCTACTCCGTTTTGGGGAAATTAGATTAATGCAGAGAAGTAACCAAGCAAGATTTACCCCCTTTTCTAAGTTGGCTTATTCCCGGCAGACGGGACTATGTTAGGCTAAAACTGCTTCCATCTTAGAGGAAGGAATTCCAAGCCTCCTTCCCTTTAGACTTTCCAGACTAGAAACAGAGCTGGTGATACTGTCAGCCCACGTTGTTGTTTATTTTTTTAAAAAAAGATTTTATTTATTTATTTGAGAGAGAGAGAGCACAAGCTTCAGGGAGAGGGAGAAGCAGGCTTCCCGTGGAGCAGGGAGCCCGATGTGGGACTCGATCCCAGGACCCTGAGATCATGACCTGAGCTGAAGGCAGACACTTAACTGACTGAGCC